TCTCTCTCTCTCTCTCTCTCTCTCTCTCTCTCTCTCTCTCTCTCTCTCTCTCTCTCTCTCTCTCTCGTCTATTGTTTTGGCTACCAAGCAGCAAGCTCCGTGAAGGCAGGTGAGGTGTCTGAACAACTCTCAGAACAGTGTTGGGGACACGATAGACACTGAGTACACATTTGCTAAGTGATTGACTCAGGGATGTGAACAGTTTTCTGGATAAGTGTTCCCTAAGGGCTCATGTGATAGAGGTTCGGTCCCCAGCATGTGGTGCTTTGGGGAGATGGAGGAACACTGAAGCTGGGCCTATTGTGAGGTGTCCTGGTCATTGGGGCTGCACCTTTGAAGGAGTTATTAATATCTCACCCTTTCCCCACCATGTCCCAGTCTCATGGTGAATGGCTTTACCAGATGCTGTTGCCATGGTGTGCTGCTTTGCTGCAAGGTCAACAGCTACAGGGCCAGTCACTCACAGTCTGAAGCCTCCAAAGCCACAAGGCAAAATTAACCTTTTCTCTTTATAAGCTGATTATCTCAGGTGTTTGTTACAGTGACAGCAAACTAACACAATTCCTGTGGGCATGCTCCAGAAAACAGAGGGTGAATCTCAGTGACCAGCTGTTCACAGCTGTTGGTAGCCTTCTCTGCATTTTGTATGAGTAACAGGAAGAAAGGTGCAGTTATGCATTTAGGAAAAAGTATAACCGCTGGCTTTGCCTGCACAGATCAGGGTGAGATGACTTGGAGAGAATGACTTCCTTATGGCTTCTTCCATATTCCTCATACAAGTATTTCCTCTCTGGCTACATCGATCTCAACATTTTGCATGTTTTATTGAGTCTGCCTGCACCTTACTGTAGGTTCAGTGTTTCACTGTAAATCATCCAAAAATACACACACACACACACACACACACACACACACACACACACACACACACACACAAATTCTGGTATTAGAACCTGGGAATCCATCCCATTTTGCTCTCAGACTCTAGTTGGGCCCACAACCAAATCAAACAGGATTTCCACCCAACTGCTAAAAGGTTTCATGGAAACCACTTCACTGCTAACTTGCTATGGTGTCTCTTGGTATTTTTATCTTTCCTTCAAGAGAAAGGCAGGCAGTTGTAATATGTGCCGGGCTCCAGTGCTTCAGGATGAAGATGATGATGTTGCCATGGAGACACCCCAACTTTATGGGTACACACATGCATGCGCTTGCACATACACTGTTCTTACCAACGTAGCCTGGGGTTCCACAGGCTGTGGACATCACATCTCCTTTGCCCTCCATTTTTGACAAACCAAAGTCACTGATCATTATTTTGGACTCCTCATCTTGACTGTAGTACAAGAGATTTTCAGGCTAGAAAAAAACAAAACAAAACAAAGACAGCTTAGAGTAAATCGAAACTGGAGTGTAGACCTATAGCCCAGCTACTTGGGAGAGCATGTCTCTCCAAACAAAAAATAAAATGAGGACTGGGGATGTGGCTCAGTGGTCTGGGGCTTGCTTAACATACAAGAGGCTCTGGACTCGATCTGGAAACAAGCAAGTAAACAATTGAACAGCAGATACATTTAAAGCTACCTTACTTAGGGAGACTCATCAAGTCTCACAATTAAGAACAACCTTGACCTTTAGTATAGACAATGTCTCCGTCACCAGATGTCAATTAAAACAGCAGTGCCCACTAAGCAGGCCGCAGAGGGTCCCGCAGAGCATTGGCACAAGCAAGTCTTCAATGTCATTCTTTGCCTTGGCTAGTATTTTTGCCTCTTGGAAATGAAAAACCACGTTTTGAGGGAACCTAAGAAGCCGATGGCTCTCAGACCTTGTCATTTCAGTTCTTGGCTAGGGGAACAGGATTCCTCAGCGATGAAACCACGCTTGCAGAATTTGCAGGTTCTTATGAGTTCCTTTTTCTTTTCTTTCCTTTCCTTTCCTTTTCTTTCCTTTCCTTTTCTTTTCTTTTTTCTTTTCTCTTCTCTTCTCTTCTCTTCTCTTCTCTTCTCTTCTCTTCTCTTCTCTTCTCTTCTCTTCTCTTCTTTTCTTTCTTTTTAAGCCAGAGACACTTGCAGGTTACTTTGCTGTGATGCAAGGCTCTCTCCTGGCTGTCCTGCCATGTCTTGCAATCCTGGCAGATGGGCTGCACCTTGCTGAGATCATCCACTACCTGCTCACACCCCTCTCAGGGGAAGGAGGAGAACTTTGGAAATGAAAAAAGCAGCACTTCCTTGTCATATGGCTGCAGATGCCTCTGCCTTTCTGTCAAGCACAGGCCACAGTGTCTTCCTATGAAGGGAGAACATAGGGGTTCCACACAACAGGGGTCTCAGGCTACCTTCCAGACCTTCAGTCTTCGATTTGTTTGGTTGGTTGTCTGTGTCATTTTGCTTTGATACGGGATCTTATTATGTCGTCTACGCTGGCCTGGAACTTGCTGTGGGATTCAGACTGGCTTCAAACTTACCATCCTCCTGCCTCAGCCTCCTGGGATTACAGGGCTACATCTCTATGCTCAGCATGTCTTCACTGTGATTTTTGCAATATCAGTGACATATAGGAGGGACTTCCTTGGGGCAGACAATAAAATATTATTTACATGGAGTTTTAGGCAAACCTGGAAATTGTCATTGGTGCTGGCAAGGATTGGGGTGGGGCTATGGGTACCATGATGCACCTGCCTCAGGCTAGCCTCAGCTCCATGGGGCTGAGAAACTCAACATGGAAGACGAACTTGTATTTTTATTTATCCTTTACTTTTTGTGTGGCTTCAGTTGATGCTATCTCTCAGGGGAATGGTTGTCAGGACAGTCCTGGAACATCTAACCACTAGGACAATTCTGAAGATTTAGTGAGTGAATAAGTACTTGTGGCTCTTGTCTACAATAAACCTTAAAGGAATGAGAGCAGAATGAAGGATCTTGAATGGAAGATCTTTTTCTCATCCTATTTCCAGACTGACTACCCCCCCCCCCCCCGAGACCAAGGATAAAGCCATATTCTCCTGTCAGGCTTCTGGGGCAAATCTTGGTTGCTGCACATTGAATTTTAGGAATTATTGTAAGTAGAGTGACAAAACTTGTCTAGAAAGTGTTTCTTGGTCTTTTGTATACCATCATCAACTGTTCACTGTGAGGATATTAAACAGAGGAGAAACATCCTTTGGTAGATCTGAGATGGGGTGGGAGTAGATCTCTGCAGGCAGGAACTCTGGCATGCTGTCTCTGCTATGAAGAAACTGTAAGGATTGTCCAAAACTCTGTCCTTGACCAAGCCTTGGCCAAGGTCCTCTGAGCCCTCTTCAGAGCAAAGCCTTGACCTTGACCTCTCAAGTTCCTCTTTCTCTAGCCAGGCCAGCCAAGCACAGTCTCAGCATGGATGAAGTGAACTCACTTTAGAGGGAATCCCCACCCCTGAAATATGACCAAGTTCTTCCTCTGGTGCTTCTGATGCTGTTAAAGAAACACTTACTCTGACATTTTTAAGGGCAATGAGTACTCTTCACTACCACCCTGGGGCTTTATAGGAAGAGGGACTGATTCAAGTCCAGTGCTACAGAGGCTAAGTGGCACTTTTCAGCCATGGGCAGGTTGGAGGACAGTCGGGGGAAGAACTGTGACTAAGGGGGACAGTGGCAAGGCCAACTTGATAGGACTTTTGCTTCAGGCGTTAGACAGGGTGACATGGTATTGACGGAGGGAGATAAGAGGTTTGGTCAGATATCCGGGGATATCTTGTGTTCAATAGATCTAAGATGATTCTTATGATCAATTTGAGTCAAAGTGGAGAATCTTTGTCCACTTATGAGTCCTTGGTCTGACTTTAGTGCGAGACTTGTGAGGTCACTTTATTTCTTTTTTTAATTATTATTTTATCATCCTTATTTATTTATTTATTTATTCATTTATTCATTCATTCATTCATTTATTATTTTATGACACTGTGGGTCAAACCCAGGGCCCTTGATGTGCTAGGTAAGGGCTCTACCACTGAGCTACATCCAACACTGCCCTAGTCCTCACCACTGTTAGGCTGTCTTAGCAAAACTCCTCATGTCTCTTCTTAATAATTTCCTTTAAAAAATTATTTTAGTGTGTGTGTGTGTGTGTGTGTGTGTGTGTGTGTGTGTGTGTGTGTGTGCTGAAGTGTTGGAACACGTGGAGGCCAGAGGTCAACACTGAGGATCTTCCTCAAATGCTTTCACTTTTTTTTTTCTTTTGAGACAGGCTCTTTCCGCTGAATCTGGGGCGGTCAACTGGGCTCAGCCTGGCTGGACAGTGAGCTCCAGGGATCCTCTTGTCTCTGCCTCCCCAGTGCTGGGATTACAGGTGTGCTTTGCCATGCCTGGCGTCTTTATGTGGGGCTGGTGACCAAATCCATCTCAGGTCTTCCTGCTTGTGCGAGCATTTGGAGGACTGAATCACCTACCCAGTGTCCTTCTTAGCAACCCTGCAGGCCCTGTGCTCTCCTCCCCCCACCCCTGCTCTCCCCAGTCCTTCTTAGCAACCCTGCAGGTCCTGTGCTCTCCTCCCCCCACCCCTGCTCTACCCAGTCCTTCTTAGCAATCCTGCAGGCCCTGTGCTCTCCTTCACCCCACCCCTGCTCTACCCAGTCCTTCTTAGCAACCCTGCAGGCCCTGTGCTCTCCTCTATCCCACCCCTGCTCTACCCAGTCCTTCTTAGTAATCCTGCAGGCCCTGTGCTCTCCTCTCCCCACCCCTGCTCTACCCAGTCCTTCTTAGCAATCCTGCAGGTCCTGTGCTCTCCTCCCTCCACCCCTGCTCTACTCAGTCCTTCTTAACAACCCTGCAGGCTCTGTGCTCTCCTCCCCTGACCCCTGCTCTACCCAGTCCTTCTTAGCAATCCTGCAGGTCCTGTGCTCTCCTCCATCCCACTTCTTAGCAATCCTGCAGGTCCTGTGCTCTCCTCCATCCCACCCCTGCTCTACGCAGTCCTTCTTAACAACCCTGCAGGCTCTGTGCTCTCCTCCCCCCACCCCTGCTCTACCCAGTCCTTCTTAGTAATCCTGCAGGTCCTGTGCTCTCCTCTATCCCACCCCTGCTCTACCCAGTCCTTCTTAGTAATCCTGCAGGCCCTGTGCTCTCCTTCCCCCACCCCTGCTCTACCCAGTCCTTCTTAGCAACCCTGCAGGTCCTGTGCTCTCCTCCCCCCACCCCTGCTCTACCCAGTCCTTCTTAGCAAC